CAACAGTTTCCCAGCTACCAGAAAATCCGGAAAACGAAGTGCTCTACGAAGATTGTTGTCAAACAAAATATATCTTATGAGGATAGAATCAAAAACAATATTCCGTGCCACCATTTGTAAACACAAAATTAAAAAAAGTTGTAGTGAATGTGAAATAATAAACACAGTCACCAGTGTACTGATCGTCAGTATCGGTATCTCCGTGTTAAAAGTCTTTTGGGGCCTTAAACAGTTCAGTTAGTTGGAGTGATGCCACTGGCACCGAGGTATTTTTCATCTGATCAGCGGATGAATAATGTTTTTTTGTGCAGATGTATCTTTGTATCTATAAATAAATAGTGCCATATAGCTTATTATTCATTACCAGATTAATGCTGTATATTTACAGTGATATTTGTTAGCTATATCAGCACTGTTAACAGCTTTAAAAGATCATTCATTTTTCCAATTCATTTTAATTGGATCCACAAAGCAAAACGTTGTAATGATGGAGGAGGTGAACTTGTCATATTTTTTGATAAACTTTAGATAGGGCTGATAATTGTAATCCGACTGATATTGACAAAAAAAACGACAGTTTGCCATCTATTTCTTCTTTTTTTTTTCTTCTCTCTGTTAACACTCTATTTTCAGAATTTTCATGGGTAAAAGTTAGTAAAAAGTTTAGATATCAAGCAAACATACATTATAATACCATTGTCACAGTTGCCGTTTGTTCTTCATGCTTTTTTAGTGGTTTAAAGGCTGAATCTTTCCTCCAAAAAGTACGTTAACCGATGTAGCTATGTGATCAGTGAGGCAGTTTTTAGTATAAGATTATCACAATGTATCCAATTATGTTTACTGTATTTGTTTTAAAGATCTTTAACTTTGATAACTTTTTCTGTATACTTTGATTATAAATTAATTTCACTTCATCTCGTTTCATTTTATTTTATTTCACTTTATATTATATTATATTATATTGTTTTATTTTATTTTATTTCGTCTCCCATTTGTTTATTTACTCATTTATTTATGTGTAATTCTTTTTTTCGGTTTATAGGTTGTGCACTGTCCAAAAATAGATTTGCCAAGGGACATATGCAATGGTTAGTTGATTTACTTTCTTTTTTTGGTTTTATAAAATTTAGAATTACTAATTTTATAGAAATTCCGATGCATAGTTTTTGTCAGTTATTACTTTTAGTTAGTATTGGTAATTGGCGATTTTCATATTCCACATCGAAGTCATAACATCCCACTAAAATTTCGTAAACTTCTTGTACCAAATAAGATGCAACATGTTATTTGCACAGGGAATCTATGTACAAAAGAAACTCTTGACTACCTCAAATCGCTGGCCTCGGATGTACATGTGGTTAGTTATTTTTGTTATACACGGTTTCTCTAGATACGGCCTTTCGTTGCAAAGTTTTGATTTGATTCTCAGAGCAGAAAAGTGTGTTACAGGTTCGGGGCGACTTTGATGACTTCTCTGCGAATTATCCAGATACTAAAGTTATAACGGTTGGACAATTTAGAATTGGTTTGTGTCACGGTCATCAGATTATACCATGGGGCGACCACAAGGTTTAATGCTTTTTCTTAGTAATGCTGCAGCGCTGTGTTAAGGGATCTAAAAAAGCCTTTGAGGATCCGTTGTTCAGTTGGAAATACATCATTTAACATTTTTACCATTTTTTAGAGAATCGACCTTCTTGCAAGACAGCTGGATGTTGATGTCATGGTTACAGGCAACAGTTATGAATGCAAAACTTTCCAAATGGAAGATAGATTCTTTGTTTGTCCTGGTTCTGCTACTGGTGCTTTTTCTCCCATAAAAAGGTTTATTGAATTTCATGGTTGACATACATCTGCTGTGACCAACATTAACCATTAATTTATTTCTTTTTTTTTGGGCGGTTTTGCTCCAAAACTTTTTCCAAACATTGAAGTATTAGTATTTTAGCTTCGCATCTGTTAATTTCGTTAAACGTTTTTCTTTAATTTTAGGGATGTAATACCGTCATTTGCTTTATTGGATGTCCAGGGTGGTAATATTGTGACATATATTTATCGGTTGGTAGATGATCAGGTTAAAGTGGAAAGGGTTCAGTTTGTCAAACCAAGCAAAAATTAAATGAGCCTAGTGGAAGTAACAAAATTACTATTCATAAGTGGATCCAACTTTTACATTCCTTTTCATCTCTCACTGTTCCTGTCATGGGAAAGAATGTGCATTTGAAGTTTGCTGTTTTTTCATCTTTGTTTTTTACTTATTAACTTTTACACTGGAATCTTCTATTTATTCAACTTTTTTGTTTGTCTTATTTATATCACAGGAGCGTTCTAAAGTCCCTGAAATATTTACTGCCTTTTTTTCATTGTTTTTAAAAGCATACTGCATGCTTAGATTGGCGTTTTAACGAGGCATCGAACAAATTTATTTCAATATTATAATTAATATAAGTGACAGTCATCAATTTTGTACAATATCTTGCAGTCCTTCTGAAACGAGACTGGAACTGAAACCGAAGTGCTTCTGAGTTATGGTTTGGCAAATTTGCCCACGGAAGTGATGGCTACCTGTACCACCAAGTGATACTTTATATCTATTTTTATAGGTTCCAAGTCAGTTTCAGAAGACCGTTTAATGTCGCACTGACTTGGTCATTTTACAGTGACAAAGTCGTGGATAGAAGGAGTGGATTTCGCACAGGAATGGTTTTTTGGAAACTTTATATATTCTTAATGCCGTAAAGTCTAGACTTTTGAAGATTCATACAGAAATAACTAGGTTATCTAGTTTGATATTATAGTTTCCTGTTAAGAGGATTTTGAAAGCATTCCTGAACTTCGACCTTCTTTTACTTGTATTCGTGATCATATTCTCAAGAGTTTTTGGAATAAAAAACTTGGTAATTTTGCTTCTTTCACTTTGCCTTCCGGTTACTTTTTTGTGAAGGCGGCCCTAGAAATTTACTAGCATTTCGGAAGCGTCACAGAAATGAGAATGGGTCGAAACGCTTGCAGTTGTATGCTCTATTAATTCGATTAAGGTCGCTTATAGTAAAGTCGGTGCTTTTTCCCATTAAAGGTGTAAAACCATGTTGTTTTGCCTCTATGGTGTTTCTACCATTTCTGCTACCTTCACTTGCTTCATAATGCATTATAGAGAAGTAATCATATCCTTCTCCATAATAAGATAACCCTCGGGCAGATATTTTCTCGAAGTCTGTTTCTGCTCCTGAAATTAAATATATTCTTTTCTAGGCTGACGATTTTTCCAAAAAGAAAAAAGTGGCGTTTTGTTAGTTATAATCGTACTCATTTTGTTTAACTTTAATTCCTCTTGAGATAAAAGTGGTGCCAAGGCTGAAAATTCCTTATAGTTTCATCACGTACGTATGTAGTTGTTTCTGGTCAGATACCGCAGAAAAAATTCTGATAAATCACCTGGTATAACATTCCTCCAAATAATGTTTACAAATCCATCTCGATCTTCTCTTTGGTGTTCGTGAATGAAACCAATGACATGCATGAATTCATGAATGATTGTTGGGTAGTCGATACATTCATCAGCTAATGAGACTTGTTGCGGACCTCCAACTCGTGCAAAGTCAGCGTAACATCTAAAATTATGTTTCATAATTTCAATTTGTTTTTAGTACTTGTTGAGTAGTTTTCGGTATAATCTTTATGGCACTGATCTTTAAGTAAGAGAACAGTTATGGATTTGGCAGAGTTAGTGATTTTCTGTGAAACCTGTAGAGTTTATTGGTGAGATACAATTTGAGGAGTTTTCAAACTTTGAAGAAAGCCCAAGCAAACACTGCAGGACGCTTGAAAGTTCCCAGAAATATTTATTTGTCTTACTTATAGAGTTGGAGGCTGACACTACTTTGCTGGTTTTTACGGTCTTAGTTTAATAATTTTAAATATTGGACGGAAATAGCAATGGAAAGGTTATAAAATCAAAAAATTGAAGATTCGAGATTAGTTGGAAGCAGATGGGCAACAAAAAAATATTTACTTTAGATACAAGTGTTAAGTAAGTGTTCAGGAATTGTTTACGAGAAACAAGCTGTTATTTACTACAGCTCAAATGAACCACAGGAGTGGCGCAACAGTACCAACGCTGAGTATGGAAAAATCGTTTCAGAATGAAGGTAAAGTAGACCGAGAAGAAGCGGATAATACAAAATGAAGTATTTTTTTATTACTTTCACTAGAAATTGAGTCTAAGAGCAGAGATTGAAAAGTGTAGTAGTTTTTTTAGCATTATATTGCCACTGAGTTTTCGGTTTTTTATGATATCAATCAATCAACATAGTTTTAGATGACAGTGAGATTATAAAATTAGACTTAGAAAACTTAATACTGTTATGTTAATTAAGCTGCAGCTGAGCACTAACAGTTTCAAAGCAAACTTTGGTTTCTTACAATTCTCTGTGGAGAATTGTTGGTTTTATATGAGTAAAATAACCGTTTGATTTCTCATTAATTCTACTCTTTTTTTTTTTTATTAAAGAGTTTCTAAAGCATCCAATTAGAACGTACCCATCAAGTTTTGATATTATAATAAAATCTCTATCGTTTATTTCTTTTGGTACAAACCGTATACAGGTTTTGGAACTGTAGCCAGCAATTGCTCGAGCAATTACCGCTCGTTGCATAGGAGCTGCAAATAAAATAGTTTTTTATAAAAGTGTCTACAATATTCTGTGCATAAGAATTTGCTTACTTGGTTATTTGACAAATGTTTATTAATTTAGAAAAAAAAAGAATTTTTTTGAAACTATGAGGAATATTTTTGCAAACAATAGTGAAGATTTCAGTTCAAAAACTTTTTTTTTTTTATTTGCCTTATAATCTTCTTACAAAAATTTTTTTTTACTGTTGTTACGCACAGTGATAAAAGTAAAGCAATTACAGTGATTTTTAAATTTAGTTTTGTCAAATTTTTAAATTTTCAAATTATTTTTGACTTATTTCTACGTTTGGAGAGTTGGTTGACAACAATTATGGGCTTTTGTTTTTAACTTATAATTAACAAAAGTAGTACAGAAAATGAAGCGAATGGGCAGCTTTTTTTTGTTTGGAAGATGATTTTTTAAATACTCTAAAATCAGAAAAATGAAAGTAAAAAAAAAGTACCTAATATTTGCTCAGTTTTATTGGTTTAATTTCAAAAACGTATCTAAACAAATTTTTTTCTCGAAAAACAATAATCATCGATGTTCATCGTTTCAACAACTTATAGCGTTTGGCTAATTTTGGCATAGATTAGGCACTTAGGTATCTGTTACACTGCAATAATTACCGTATAGTTCAAAGATCTAGTCTAAGGAAAACTGATTCAGAAGAAATTACTATGGACTAATGTAGAGTATTAATGAAATAAAACTCTTAAAATTTTAAATCCTGAAACTTTGCATGAGAATTTTAACGTACTGTATGCTGGTGAAAGCACATAGGGAACCCTTCCGTTGGGCCATTTGTCAGCCTCATAGGCTACAGCAGATCCGCGTCTCGTTCGCTGAAATGTAATATTGAGTTTATTAGCTATTGCCAGGTGTCGTTTTATCTTTTAAAGATTACTGAAAAAGAAAAGCATTTTGAATAGAAAAATTAAAAGTTTTTTATATGGTTAAAAATCTTCAACAATTTTTTGTTTACCTTATTTTAGTCGGAAAAATTTTAATAGTCATATGTTTTAAATTATTTGTCAAAACATTTCTCTGTCGGGACTGTATAAACGAGATGTAGTTTCCAAAAATAGGAAGGAATTCGGAAATGAAATTAATAGAAGGGTGCTAGAAAACAGTTAAAATTTTTGTTTTGAAAGAAAAGGGGTAAAGTTTTTCATTGAAAAACTAATCGGTCCATTTTGAAAAGTGTAATTTCAGAAAACGTTTAGTTGTTTTAGAAGATAAATATGGAGGACAGCGCTGAGAATCGTTGACTGTCATGAGAATTTTTTCGAAGTCTTTTTAAGTATTCAAAAAAAAAAGAGGTGTGGAGAACCCACAGTGTTTATACAGTAAATTTGGTGGGTTTTGCGCAGCTAAGAACGGTAAGCAAAGCTAATTTCGCCAAATTCATTTACGAGCAGATTGATAACACTATGAGAAATCAGAAAATTAGACTATAGATGACCATTTAATGATATACCAAAAACAGTTCACAAGAATGTTACATTTGTCATATGCAACCAAAAATCACGTCTAAATGACAAGCACATGTCTAGGCTTTTTGTTGTAGACCATACCTTCAGATGAAACCTCTGGTCGTTTAGAGGAAATACTGACCGAGATTCAGTATTAACGAAACGAGCGTTCAGAAAGTCGATAGGTGTCAAGAAATCCGCATTAGTATCGATGATCATCAGAAGCAGTATCAGTAAACTAAGAGGAAGTATCTGGGGTAGTGATTTCATGTTAAGGAAAAGGTGAATAGTTATGGCGACTTCAAGATTATGCTGATTGCTGGCGATCTTAGTTGCTTGCTGGTTTGTTGCTCAAATGACTGTGCTAGAATACAACTAGTTCCTCAGAACTTCCTTCATCCAGCTCTTTCTTCGGTCCAACAATTGAATTCACTCTCAACGCAAAAATTTTCTGGCTTTACGACTAAACTCCACCAAGTTGGCCGTCAGAAGGAACACCACTGGTCAATTTCAGCCTTATTTATTCTTGTTATTACTGCGTAGTATCATATTTTTACTTCTACCGCCCTATTCTGTTCTCTTCCGGATTGTCAAACTTTTCACACTCTGACAACAAATATACCGACTGACTAAGTTTCTTTTTTATTTGTTTATTTTCTTATTTTTTCTCTACCTCTCTTTAACATTCGGACTCGGATATTTGTTATGTTTTTTCTGTAAACTTGTTCAGTAAGCTTGAAATGCTGAAACCTGTAGAGTCGACTAGCTTTTAATACGACTGGTCATTTCTAAATCATTTTGCTATCCAACGTTTATCAGTCAATCAAATGCATTTAATTCAGCGTTGCTTACGTTAATACAATGTATCAATCTTAAATTACTGTTATAGTTGAAAGTAAAACAAGTTGTCGAATATCTGTTCTTTTTTCTGTTTCAATTTTCTGACATCTTAGGAGGAGATTGATTGAGTAGAACCATGTTTACATTAGAAGTGTCGGAACGTTCAAAGTTGTTGTATTTGTAAAAACATCAGTAAATATGTGAGGAAATTAAAAGTAGAGCCGATAAAAAAGGTGACTGTTAGCTACTCCTGTATCTACTATTAAATTTTCCTTTCTTACAGTACTTTTGGTAATTCATTAGAATGCTTTGTTTTTTTTCCTTATAAATATTACTTAGCTATAAATACTGCGATGCTTAAAATCAAAGTTGCCAGTTAGTGATCTTCTTTGGACAATTTGGGTGACTTATAATATCGGAATTGAAAGTTGCAGTCTGCAAGCAGTGTAGTTGCAAGCTGTCTGTTTACTTGTTGCGGGTATAAAAAAGAAGACGTACTAGATAAATCAAAAATACAGCAAAGCTTTTTACACTCGGAACTTTTTTCTGATGTTTATATGAATAAACACCAGTTGAACAGTTTTTTGCCATCACATCATAGAACGACGAACACGGATTATCAAGTGTTTATATGGAATATAAAACGGCAAAAAATCTTACTGTTCTTTTTTTGTTGCTGACTCTGTGTTCTGATTCTTAAAAGTGGACTAACTTCTTTCATCAAATTCAATTATACTTTTAGCGTTTGGTTGATAATCAGTTTTTTTTTTTTTGATTGAAAAAAACAATATAGATTTTAAAACTTTTACTTCTCTTCTATCCATTTTTTTAATAGTAACGCTGAAAAAAAAGTGCTTTTTTATTTGAAATTTTATCAAAGTAACTGTCAGAATTTTTAGGGTTGTTTAAGTGTAATGCTTTTTAATGTTAAGTTTTAAATAAGAATAAAAACAAGGATCTGACAAGACTTTTGTCAGTTTGTAAGCAAAGTGTTACAGTTTTTTTTTTTTTGCTGACAAACTTGCGGCAGTAATATCAGAAAAAGCAGAGGCAGGAAAAGAAAAGAAAAAAAAAAAAA